TAGGACTACTTGGCCAAGGTTTCCTAAACCACTTCTGGATTATTAGTTCCCCCTATTAAAAGTAATTGGGGTGTCATTACTCCAACACTGCATAAAGCATAGTCTCCAACTCTGCACTCTTCTGGGTACTAAAGAGAGTAAGTCTCCAACACCACACTTATTTTCAAGCACTAAGGAGAAATATGAGCTGTACCTGGCATCCCATCGTGCCAGCAGAGCCATATGGACTTAATCTTGACTAACTCTATTAGGGTGACCTCCCACCCTCTAATATGCCATATTTCACTACATATCTCCACTTGACCATGCATAAACCAATTTCTAAACCAATATAATGAATATTACTACTTACTTAAAAAACATACATTTTACAAATCAATACTCCACTCATTTTTTAAAATAGTTAACTTTTACAAAATTCATACATATATACATAACAAATCATGAAAGCACAACTTGAGAATAACTTATACATGGTAATAAATAAAGCAAATTATCTAGTTACCTGAACCCTTTTTGTTACTAAAAAGGGTTACCCGTGGTGCTAAATCTCTTCTTGTGTTAAGCCAAGTTTTCCCACACCACAATCTATATCAACAAGTACTATATGGTAATTTTCAATTAACACAAGCACTATTAACTATTTATAACATTCCAACTCTCCAACTTCTCACTCATATTCTCAACAAATAGGCTTGTCAAGATTACAATTTTCTCACACAATCCCTTAAAGCCTCCCTCTAACTTTATCACAACATAACACTTGTCATCTCAACTTATCACACCTCAAACCCTATAATCAAGCTAGGGCTTGTTTCTATTTTCACCAAACAACAATTTAACTCATATTACCACTTATCCAAGGTTAAGAAACTTAAATCAATCATTTAGAGTCAATAGAAACCTTGAAAACATAGACTCATAGCTTAATCCATTTAGAGCAAATTCTCTTACTTCCAAATCTCATGAAAAATGAGATGAAAAGGTAGAGGAGAAGGGTGAAAAACTTACTCAAGAGTTTGAAGGCCTAATTTTTCTTTAAAATCATCCTAAAATGATGCCCTAACAGTACCTAAAGCTTTCCCCTTCGTGTTCTAGGTTTCCTACCACAAAAACTATCATTTTCTAATGATTTTTGAAAATTTAAGTTTTCTACTGTGCTATGCACTGCAACGCATGCCACACAAGCTATGGCTCATGACGCAGTAAGCAAAATGTCAAATTTTCTCCCCTATGCCACTTGACTTGATTTGACTTCCATCCTAACTCAATTTAGAGCCAAATATGACCCAAAAAGCTAATTAGAAACCCAAAAACATAATTAAATTAATTAATAATCTTTTTTAACTAAATTATCCCTTAATTAGTCAATTTTTCCAGATTTAAAGTTTTTGGATGTTATAAACCATGATAGGTGGACCACACAAGTAAGCCCAACCTACAACTCAGTAGCCATCAGTTATTCCCTATCTCTTAACTAACTAAGTCAGAGATAATGGAATATAATTAATTATTTATTTAATAAAGCAGTTACTGATCTAGTCCTTATAAACTAATCAATCAATAACCACTATACACACGCATATGATTGTTTTCATTTACTCCATTATCTCTGTACTCTCTGAAGACTATGGGGGTCTAGTGGGTTGTGTGTCTGCCTATACTTGAGGTAATCAAGGTGTTGCATTCAATCATAGATTCTTCAAGTACGCACATCACTATCCTTAAATATTATTTGATTTATGAGAATTGAGATACTAAAGTTAACACGTGGCATCAGAGCCAGAGTTATAAATATTAAATCTGAAGTATCTTAATTTAATATGATTGATTGAATAGAATTTCTTTTAATCCTGCTTGCTCAAATTTGATTAACATGTTGAGTTTCTTACTCTTCTCTTGTTATTGAGTTGAGAATTTCTTGGCCTTTTATATTTGCGAAGAAGCCATTGGCATGATCTATTTAGACACATGAATTTGTTCTATTGTGAACCTCTATCACTCTCTCTTTTCTTCCTTTTATTCACTAACTAGATGAACTGCTGGAGCACCGATAGGGCTTCTGTTGTCGAAGTTACAATACACTAGCACTCTTGCTAAAAAAAACCTTTCCAACAGCTATCATCGCATTGTTAAATAAAGGTAGCAATAGGTTCTAGAATCAATGAAAAGAGCTTTAGATCGCTAGAGATGAGTTGTTGGTACATTATGGGTATATCTGTTGTTGATGTTGTCGAAAATAGTGCACACTTCATCACCATGAATAACTGATAGAAATTGGGTCTCTATCTTCCCTGTATTTTTGTTGGAGGCTGTCTGGTTCATGATAGCACTCTCCTAGTTTCACGGGTTCATGCATTAGGGCCTATTTTACATCACCGAAGAAGGTCCGAGTGTCATGGTCTATCGTTTTATGGTCGGCAGCGTCATAGACGTCCCTCTTGTTTCTAGTTCATGCTTCTGCAGTCTGACAGTTAGAGAAGAAGTAGGAACTGAGTCACAAAAGTGGATTTTAAGGATCCATCTTCTTTGAGACAGGCCAGTTTTTGTTTAGACCTGGCATATTTAAAAAAAAAGAAGGGGGCCCAGCATGTGAAACGAGTTGTTTCACTCAAGTAAGACAAAATTAGGCCTTATTCTGGGCCCAATACAATATATAATAATAATAATAATAATTTTGTAAATTGTATTTCAAGCCTAGTTTAAAATTACCTTATTTTCCCTATAATTTTTGAGATTTACGCTGTGACACCAGATAATTTCTAAAAATTACATTTTAGTCACTTAACTTCTAGAATTGCGTTTTGATCCAAATCTCTTCTAAAATTACCAATTTATCCCTGGACACCTTTCAAAAAAAGTCCAATTAAGTCCTAGATTTATTCTTTAATTCCCCAAAGGACCTTAAAGACTTTTGAAATTATTTTGTTTTGTCCTAATATCATAAAGCTTGTAATTTTGTGAATTATTGGTGACGGTTAAGATCTTGTAGTATTGGTAATGGACATAACCTATAGGTATAACATTATTAATATGATTTTGATGGTTGACTTTAAGAATAGAAAATAGTATTTTTGATGTATTTGATATTCGTTATACCCCATAGGTATGAAAATATTTAATATATATTTTTTAGTACGATATGAGCCAAATTTGTGTGGTATGAGAGCCTTCTTAGTGCATGATGATAGTTGCATAGCTGAAATTCGCTTGTTGGGAATTATATACTATAATTATGTTATGCACGTATAATTATTTCCTATATTCTGTCTTGAGATTTTAGTTTTTGTGTTTTGAGAAACTATCTTTTATTAAGGCCCTATATGGGACTTGGTGCATGATAATAGTTGTATAATTAAAATTCACTTATTGGGAATTCTGTACTATAATTATGTTATACATGCATGATTATCATTTCCCATATTATGTTTTGCAATTTCAATTTCTATTTTGAGCAATAATTTTTTTATAAAGGCTCTTTATGGGACTCATTATGATCATTTGTGAGAGTTCTTAAGTACGTACCTTACTACTTTGAGAATTATTTGGCTATAAGAGAACTGAAACCAGTGTATCTCTCTTGGTAGTCTAGTGCTTTTAATAAAGCCTATCATATACATTTGTATAAGTCTAATATGATCTGTTTGATAGTGATTGATTTCACTATTAAGGAAAGTAATTAAGGACAACATTTTTAGTGAGATATATTATGGGATGCTTGATAGCATTCAGTTATGGTGGGACATTTAGTGTTAAAAGCGGTATGTCTTGAATTTGTATAGAGTTGACCTTGGAGTATTCCTTGGCTTATAGAATCTTAATCATGAATTCTTGACATCTTCTTACTTCACGTAAGAAAGGGGAGAGATTGAAGGATCATACAATATTAATAGTAACCCATAATAGCTTCCAATCTAAGGGGTGAAGCATTTCAAGTTTGGAACATTTAAGTGGAGTAGCTAGACTATTATCCTTTTATTCCTTTTATTTGGAATTTCCATTTCCATCCACATGCTCAGGGCCTTTATGAATAAATTAGTGATATATTTTGTATGATATTGCAAGAGTTATTTACACTTAGTGATTGTGTGCTCACTTATAGTGAGTCAAATCATAGTAGTATATTATTTGAAATTATATTTCAAGATATTATGTTGATAATGAATTTTACCTGATAGGTATATCATTGTCAATGTAATTTGTATTTTAAAACTATGGAATTATCTCTAAATACCATATTGGTAAAGGACGTTTTCAGTAAAACAAGGATTATTATTGTTAGTAGTTAGGCATTTATTTTGGCAGGTTTACAAATAAAGGTTTTAATGTTTTGATGTTTCTTGTACCTTATAGGTATGGTGACATTAAATACATTTTGTTCTAATCCTTTCAATAAAGTCCTTAATTAATATTTGAATTAGATGCCTAATAATCTAGTGTTCAAAATAATATAAGATAAATTATTTGTTTTAGGCTAGAAATCATAAGTGAGATCTTTAGTTGAAAAAGCTTAATCTCAAAATCTATTAAAGGGTTCATTGTTTTACTATTGTATAGGATCAAGAAGGTGCCAATTTTTATTAGTCACTATTAAGTTAATCAAATTTGAATCTTATGTTCAAATAAATAGTGAGAGTTATGGGCCTACACCATTAGTCTACATGTTAAGAGTAGCAACTTTACCTAAGCATGATTGTACATTAACTTCATTTGATGACGATCAGGTCGTTAAGGAATCCACTTGTTAAAATAAACATTTCTTGTTGTACATGGTGAGGACATTATCATACTATTCATGGATGTCATAATAAGTTGCCACTAAATTATCTTAAATGAATAGAGACTTGAGGGAAGCAATTGAAATACCTTAATATAATGGTTTTGTAGAATTTAGTTAATAACATTTAATGTGTAACTTTCTAAAACCATCTTTGGGAATAAGCAACTCTTCAAGAAGTGATATCTGAATTTTGATGAGGCTATTAGCTCCCTTTAATTTTACTCAGAACAATTGTTTCTTGATTTATGCATGTCATCCTTTCACAAAGGTCATGCTAATCTTCCTTGTATCATTCTAATTTTATTGTATGTCCACAAGGGACTGGTCATTGTTTCATGCTTCCATGTCCGCCCTACTAAATAGTAATTTTTTCCTGTAGTAGCTAAACACAATCATCACATAGTTTTATCCTTGATTTTTCCATTGTTAATTATTTGTTTTTAAAACCTTTTAGTATGTCCTCATTTGAAGTCTAGTATTGTGATTCAAAAAGTGTTCAGACAAGTTCATGACAAAGTCTTCCTGTATTAATTCCTTTATTTTTTTGTGATTATTATTATTTTTTTTAAACAAGGAAAAGCATAATAGAAAAATGCATTGCCGATCATGTATTATGATTCTTCTTATTATGATTATTGAACAGGTGAGTTTATTCATAATTAATATGACATGTATGATTTAACTAAATTATTTTTCTTTATTTTTTGTAGATAGAATATGATTGGGTACTCTTCAACTAAGTAAGAATGGTGTTAGATGAAGTTTTTTGTACCATGTAAGCATGGGAGTATTGAAAATGTTTTTAAATTCTTAGGTCACAATTTACATAAATAATCATATATATTGTAGGATTGAAATTAGTTGTTGATCTCTTATATATATACTAAAATTTCTTACAGTTTGTATACTTGCATTAATTATATAAATAATTTCTTTGTATATTTGTCATGACATATAATGCATGCAAGGCATAATAAATGAATTAATTTTCTTAAAAAAATAAACCTATGGGAGCATTTTGGAAAGAAAAGCTCCTATAGAGGTCATACGAGAACATTTCTTAATAAAAAAAAGCTTCGATAAGCATACCCTATAGGAGCGTTTACGTGAAAAAAAGCTCATGTAGGCCTAATATACAGGAGCTTTTCTTCATGCAAAAGCTCCCGTAGGGTAGCCCTACAAGAACTTTTCTAACCCAAAATGCTCTTGTAGGCCTTATCTATAGGAGCGTTCCTAAAATGCTCCTATATATGAGAGCTCCAGATTTCGAAGCGTTTTTAAAATGCTCCAAAAAAGTAAAAATAAATACTCTAAAAAAGGCTTTTTTGTAATAGTGTAAGAGTTATACGTAGCTTACTTGACAATAATTGATCAAAAGCACTATCCAATAGCTTGAAATGGCTTGCTCTAGCTTTTCAGCCCTTCACCTCTCCTTCTCTCATGTGTTTTAAAATTTTCACTTCTGAAAATCACCAGATTTCATGACTTAAAAAGTGATTTTCTAGTCTATATGCCGCGGCACATGCATCACAAACTACAACACGTAGCACAGTGAGATTTATTCTCACCATGTGCACCTGTTTTGACCCAAAATGTACTCCATTTATCTATATTTGTTCATACGACACACCAACAAATCAATTCACCAAGTAATCATCCAAATCTCTAACCCCACACTAATTACCACTTTACCTTTGATTAACCACTAATCTTAAGATTAAGAAATTCAGAATGTTACATTGACTCTAACACTGTATCACGCAGGCACTAAGGAGTCCAGATCTCCAACATTGTACCTTAATAGGCACTAAGGAGATAATTTCTAACACCACACCTTGAAAGGCACTAAGGAGATACAATTCTCTAATACCACACCCCATCGGGCACTAAGAAGAATATGCCATATAGTCTTATTACCATACTACATACACAAATAAACTCCAACTCTTATGATCATGATTTTTGAGCCACTCACAGGATCCCAATCACCACTTTACATGTTTTTCAATACATAACATATATATATATATATATATAAACATATAAACACATGTTTCAATACCTCTATTTGATCAAAATTCATTTCATGCAACATTCAAAGAATATCATAAATCAAGCTTTGTTTAAAACCATTTCATGCACTAAATAGTATAGTCACACACAATTACAATAACTAGTCAAATAGAGAAAGTTATTCGATTACCTTAACCCTTCTGTCACTAGAAAGGTTACTCGTGGATTTCAACTACCACTATAACTCGTCACATGCTTCCTTTCTCAACTCACACGTGCAATATGCCAATCTATATACAATTGGCATGATTCAGTCATTTGGTCCAATTGACCAAAAACACTTATTTACTACTTATGCTTATATCTAGCCGTCTTTCTTTTCCATTTATCCATTCTAGGTCTATATTCGATTACCTTAACCCTTCTGTCACTAGAAAGTTTACTCGTGGATTTCAACTACCACTATAACTCATCACATGCTTCCTTTCTCAACTCACACGTGCAATATGCCAATCTATATACAATTGGCATGATTCAGTCATTTGGTCCAATTGACCAAAAACACTTATTTACTACTTATGCTTACATCTAGCCATCTATTCTTTTCCATTTATCCATTCTAGGTCTATTACTACTCAATTACTACTTTGCATCACCTCAACTGCTCTCATTTCACTCAAATATGATTTCCACCCCTTTTCCTCTCTACTTTAGGGCTAAATTAAGCTTAGGGTTAAAATCTCTATTATTCATCTCTAAACTAGTTGCAAAGCTCTAACTTAACTTTCGAGAACCTTTTTATTACTATTGGGCAAGAATCAAACCCCTCAAAATTTCACCAATTCAATTTCTTTATAACTCAGATTTAAAGAAATTTGGGTAAAATGGAAGGTAAGAGTTATATGTAGCTTACCTGATAAGTTATTGATTAGAAGCACCTTCTAACACTCCAAAAATGCTTGCCGTAATAGATAAAACCTTCATCTCCTCTCTCTTTGACATTTCTCTTCCTCTCCCTTCTGAACTCTCATGAAATTTCATGACTTTTGAGGTCATTTTTTGGTCTATGTGTCGAGGCGTATGAGTATCTATTGCAGCACATGGCATAGTAGGAAGAATTCTCACTACGCACACATACTTTAAACCAAAATGTGATCCTTTCACCCGTATTTTCTCGTTTAACATCCCAAAGACATAAATCATCAATCTATCATCCAAATCTCTAACTCTTTAGTAATTACCATTTTACCCCCTGATTAATAACTAATCACAGGATTAGAAAATCAGGATGTTACAACTTTTATGTCAAGTAATGGTCAAGGTAATGGCTAAGGGTTAGGAAATAACAATGGTAACAATAGGAATGTGGGCCATAACTTACATGATGATGCACATATCGATAGGAAATTTGTAGGAATGCATAATCCTTAAGATGAGTGGTTCATTAGGCAATTGACTTCTCCTAATTGGAATCATAATCTTTATGGGTTGTACATGGCTCTGAATGTGAACATGTTTGAACTTTAACCTTCATTAACAAATGCTTTACCTAGGTTCTATGGATTACTAGATGAAGATTGCCATACATTCTTGCTAACTAATATCTAATGTAGATGTCATAGTAGGAGTCACATGAATTGGTAACAACACCATTTTTCTAACACAATCTAGAGTAGCATTATTGACCGCTAACCAATCCATCCTAATATTCACATCTAACTCTTGTATAGGAATCAAGATCGGATCTACTATAGAGGTCCTTCCCTCAAAACACATTTCCACCCCCTTAGACACCTTACTGGTCTTATTAGTAACCCAGATAGCATAAACACTTTAACTATAAAAGGTAGTTCATGCATAGGCAAATTTAGTTTTCTCACACATTCATACAACACGAATGAGTGAGTGACTCTAGAGTCAAATAAAGCCCTAACTTCTTGCTCGCAGATAGAAATTATACCTATGATCAGATTCGAAAACTCTCCCACTGAAGGATCTAGAGCCACTAGTACCAAAAATGTTCCTCTTTGATATTCCTCATAACGGACTCAAAGGAGCTAAAAACTTACCGAAGCTATCTCTTCTTTTCTCAAAATCTGCCTCTTACCCTACCTTGCAACTATATGAAGCCTGTTGCATGTCTCTTCATAAGTTCACCCAATAAATCAATCTATCTTCTATACTTTGGTCATATTTTCTCGATCAATTTCTTTGCCTTCTACTTACTATCATCTCTTTCATGCAAATAAGTTACAAATTTAGAAAGCTAATTAAATTTCTTTATAAAAGATTCTTCATCTATATCTCCTTATTGAAAAGCATAAAATTCAGATTCGTTCTCATCTCAAAAGGCTGCAGGGAAATGGTAGTCAAAGAATCTTTCCTTGACCTATTCCCAGCTAAGCCAATTACTATTAGAAGGCCTCATGGAATGCCACCAATATTTAGCATCTCTTATCAATTGTACTATAGCTAACAACACCTTTTGCTCAAAGGAACATGGAGTAACTTCAAATATTGTCTCCATCCTCTCAATCCAACTTCTATATCTCCTTCCTTCATACATCCACATAGGATACTAATTTAGCAAAGCCAAATCCCTTAGCTTATGAAACAATTCAAGTAACACCTTTTAAGTTCACAAATTTCATTCTCCATAGTAACTTGCCCCTTAGACTACCCAAATGACCAAGACATTCCTTTTTCTCATTTGTTTATCAATTTTCCTCATTTTCAACTAAATAACTTAGGTTAATTTAACCTTTATCATTAAAGTTCAACCATTAAACTTCATACGAGTCATAAAACCTTAGTTTCACATATAAAAGCCCTTTTTAAACACTTTCCTTAGATTTTAACTCTTTAAAACTCCTTGATTCAACTTTTCTACTGACCAAACTTAAAGAAATTAAGTTAGAAATGTAGCATTGGGTGGTAAAATCTAAGTCACTAGCCAAAGCAAGCTCCTAATCTTCCAATAATCGAAGCCCTTACATAGTAATTCTCCATCTCCCTCTCTAGTACATTTTTCTGATCTTTATCCTTCTAATTTCATAAGCTGATCACATCATCTTTAACAAAAATCTATGTCATTCACCACGGTGTATGTAGGACATGCCACAGTGTGTGGCATGTGACATCCTAAATTTGTTAATCTCGTGATTAGTGGTTAACCAAGGGAAAGTGATAATTAGTGTAGGATTAGAGATTTAGATGATTACTTAATGGTTTGACTCATTATTATGTTGTATGAAAAAGTACAGGTAAAAAGAGTGCATTTTAAGTCAAAGCAAGTGCGCGTGGTGAGTA